CTCTTACAGAAACGTATGCCGTTCACCACATCAGGAAACTCAAGATTATTATACAGTCAACTCTAAATAAGCAGAAATGACAAACTTCAAAGCCATCAGGACCAACAGATGCCAAATTGAAACGGTCAATCCACTCCTCTCAGTCCTGTAAAGATTTAACTGTGTTTGCTGTGGGATCGATGTGCGCTGAAAAAGCAAATCCCAAAGCAGGGAGAAGTTTACAGAGCTTTAGCCTTAGGCTAAATGTTGTACAAAAACCAGCAACAACATCCCTTGAGATGAAGCATATCTGTTGCTCCAGCTGAGCTTGTACTTGTAGGAGGTTTATATGTGCACTGAAGGATAGCTTTTATTGAAGAGATATGTATCCTTAAGGTAAAGCTGTCGACTTTTTATTTGCTTCTTCAGCAATGGTGAAAGAAGACTGTGAACGATTAGCATTTTGGTTTTCCGGCTATCTCCTCCAATTTTGTGGGTTTACCATCAGGCTTTTGTCAATACAATACAACAAAGGTAAAGGCTTGCCTCTTCATTTCCGACCCCAGTTACACTGAGTGCCTACTTCCATCCAGTCTTATTATTCTTTAAGCATTCAGCAGATGTAAATCCAATCTTCTTTATTATACCTTTATCAGTATGAAATTATGGTTAATTGACTTTGCTGGGGAAACATCAAATGAAACATCCCTAATGGAACCAAAATGAAAATAACGTCATCTTCAATTGCTTTAAAATATTTCTCAGTATACAGCCTAGTTTCCTATTCCACAGCCTCAGAAATAAGCTCCTCTTGTCCCAGGAGATAATAAATGAATTGAATCCACTCCTACCCCACCAGCCCCCTCCCTCCCTCCCCCTTCCTTATCGGTCATCTATTTTTCCAGAGTAAGCTATTACTTGCTAGGGTTGCTAGGCAACAAGAAATATTAATAGCGGCTATTATTAGCCAGGCTCTGCTAGAGTAGTACTAAAATGTGGAAGTGGGAAACATGAATGTGTTACATAAATCTCTGGACCTTTCACAGTGTGTGCAAGTCTCTGTTTGTGTGGTGATTTAGTGCAATGACGGTTCATTTATGAGAAAAGGGGGTGTGAAATAAGAAAATGGAACATTACCCTGAAGGGCTATTTGAAAATAAATAATTGCGAAGGTGAAACAAAAGCTGTTTAAGAGGCAGGCACTCCCTCTCCGTTTCCTTCTGTAATGTTATTTGCCTGGTTTCTTACAATATATTCATGCATGGTCATCACATAAACTTTACTCATAAATATAGCATACAGTACATGAGACACATCTTATATGTTGCCATCTTGTAAAATCAGCTTGTCCAGTTTATTATACAGGTTTTGTCAAGCCATCTACGAACACTAAAAAGCAGCCCAGCTGTAAATGTTCCAGTCAACAGCAATTTTTTCCCTGCGCCAAGCATATTCAGCACAGAAACCACTGGACTGTGACCTAATCCTGAAGACTAGCTTTAATGGAGGCCTTAGCTACCACCCACAGAAAATAAAGAAGCCTGCAACTTATGCAGTTTGATTCTGAAAAATCACATAAGACCTGATTAACGGAGGATAAGTGCCACGGATGCTCACATTAAGGCATAAATATTCATGGTGGAAGGCTGAGGAAAAAAAAGTAATATTTATGTCAGATGAAAGTATATAACATTGAATAATTCACCACACAGGCCATATATAATTCATCTGGTTCGATCCTATGATTAAAGCATGTGAATGTGTTCGCCAGAGGTGTTTACATGTTCAATCTGAAGCATGTTTAACACAAGTCCCTTTACTGGAGGGGGAGGAGTGTGGGTCCTCAGAATTTTTTTGAAAAGAAAAAGTAGCTGACAAGGGATACCCCCCCCACCCCACCCCGCACATGCCAAGATTTTCAGTTCAAAACCTTCCATCCCTCCCCCATTCCTTTTTTTACTTTGACGATCATAACAAATGAAAATGTGCAGCGCCAAGTTTCTCGCTCCCTTTCTTGGCTTAGATTGATGCAATGAAATCTCTGAGTTTTGCAGCTGAATAGATATTAAAGGAGCTCTGCTGCGAAGGTTTGGCTGTTAAGGAGACAGCAGCTCTCTGTATTTAGAAATGCTGCATGTACAGACTCTGAGCTTGCTTAGCTTCCTTGACCTCTAACTGCTCTAATTATCACTTTAATCGAAGAATGGTTTGCTATTACAAAAAAAGATCTGAGAATGTTGAGACAGGAACACAGTGGGATTAGTCATTTGACTGTTTCATTGCTGTTTATAGCTTTAACGAGGCATTAGAAGATTAATAATATTTTGGAAAAGAATGAACTTTCCATGACGTGAACATGTGAAACCTTCAGAGAAAATGTCCTCTGTGCTGATTTGCCCACTTCCAGCCCTCTGGCCACAAAGACTAATAGCCTACCACAGTGCTTGACTTGCATGATCACAAAGGGCCACAGCTAAAAAGGGACAGACAAAAACTGTGTACTTACCGAGTGCATAGGCCCTGAGAGGAGGTGGGTGTCCTGACCTAACATGTTGGACATCATGAGGGCGGGCAACTCGGGGTACGAGTAGGTGTTGAGCAGGCCATTGTGAGGCAGGGAATGGAAGGGGTAACCTGACTCGTGCTCCATGAGGTGCAGCAAAGAGGGATCAGCATGGTTTGGGGGTGTGATAGGGGGGATCTCGTAGTCTTCATCCCCTGCACCTCCTCCTCCTCCACCACCACTGCTGCCTCTGCCCTGACTGGAGTAGCTCTGAAAAGGCAGGGGAAAGAAAGCAATCCATTTTTTAGAAAAGGGAGACTCAAGGAAGCTGCAACCTTTACTCATATATGCTATATTTTGTTGTTAGAGGATAATTTGTTCCCACTATAAGACAAAGGAAAACACAGGGCAGGCCACAATCACACATTTGTATTGATATGTATGGACAATTTAGAGACTATAACATGTTTGTGAGTCTAAAATAGTACTTCAAATAATACTTCAAATAATACTTCAAATTCACTACATACTAGAGAAAAAATATATTTATTTAATAACTTTGGTTAATAGTTACATTTTAGAACGAGATTAATAAAAAACTGTATAATAATAAGACTTTACTGATCCCTAGTGGGATATTCACAAGCTCCCCAGGAGTATGTAGCATTAACTCTGTCTTCACCTTCTGCAAGATTAAATGCGATTTACACAATAATACATTAATAGTCAAATATTATTATATATTATATTATTCTGCAGCACACGTACTCTTACTTTTAGTACTTTAAGTAGTTTTGATGAATATGTAATTTTACTCAAGTAATATTTTGAATGCAGGATTTTTAATTGTAACAGAGTAATTTTACACTGTAATATTGCTACTTTTACTTAAGTAAAGCAATCTGAGGGCTTCTTCCACCAAGTGTGGTTCCTCAGAAATTTTTTGAAAAGAAAAAGTAGCTGACAAGGGATACCCCCCCCACCCCACCCCGCACATGCCAAGATTTTCAGTTCAAAACCTTCCATCCCTCCCCCATTCCTTTTTTTACTTTGACGATCATAACAAATGAAAATGTGCAGCGCCAAGTTTCTCGCTCCCTTTCTTGGCTTAGATTGATGCAATGAAATCTCTGAGTTTTGCAGCTGAATAGATATTAAAGGAGCTCTGCTGCGAAGGTTTGGCTGTTAAGGAGACAGCAGCTCTCTGTATTTAGAAATGCTGCATGTACAGACTCTGAGCTTGCTTAGCTTCCTTGACCTCTAACTGCTCTAATTATCACTTTAATCGAAGAATGGTTTGCTATTACAAAAAAAGATCTGAGAATGTTGAGACAGGAACACAGTGGGATTAGTCATTTGACTGTTTCATTGCTGTTTATAGCTTTAACGAGGCATTAGAAGATTAATAATATTTTGGAAAAGAATGAACTTTCCATGACGTGAACATGTGAAACCTTCAGAGAAAATGTCCTCTGTGCTGATTTGCCCACTTCCAGCCCTCTGGCCACAAAGACTAATAGCCTACCACAGTGCTTGACTTGCATGATCACAAAGGGCCACAGCTAAAAAGGGACAGACAAAAACTGTGTACTTACCGAGTGCATAGGCCCTGAGAGGAGGTGGGTGTCCTGACCTAACATGTTGGACATCATGAGGGCGGGCAACTCGGGGTACGAGTAGGTGTTGAGCAGGCCATTGTGAGGCAGGGAATGGAAGGGGTAACCTGACTCGTGCTCCATGAGGTGCAGCAAAGAGGGATCAGCATGGTTTGGGGGTGTGATAGGGGGGATCTCGTAGTCTTCATCCCCTGCACCTCCTCCTCCTCCACCACCACTGCTGCCTCTGCCCTGACTGGAGTAGCTCTGAAAAGGCAGGGGAAAGAAAGCAATCCATTTTTTAGAAAAGGGAGACTCAAGGAAGCTGCAACCTTTACTCATATATGCTATATTTTGTTGTTAGAGGATAATTTGTTCCCACTATAAGACAAAGGAAAACACAGGGCAGGCCACAATCACACATTTGTATTGATATGTATGGACAATTTAGAGACTATAACATGTTTGTGAGTCTAAAATAGTACTTCAAATAATACTTCAAATAATACTTCAAATTCACTACATACTAGAGAAAAAATATATTTATTTAATAACTTTGGTTAATAGTTACATTTTAGAATGAAATTAATAAAAAACTGTATAATAATAAGACTTTACTGATCCCTAGTGGGATATTCACAAGCTCCCCAGGAGTATGTAGCATTAACTCTGTCTTCACCTTCTGCAAGATTAAATGCGATTTACACAATAATACATTAATAGTCAAATATTATTATATATTATATTATTCTGCAGCACACGTACTCTTACTTTTAGTACTTTAAGTAGTTTTGATGAATATGTAATTTTACTCAAGTAATATTTTGAATGCAGGATTTTTAATTGTAACAGAGTAATTTTACACTGTAATATTGCTACTTTTACTTAAGTAAAGCAATCTGAGGGCTTCTTCCACCACTGAATAATGCCATATTTATAGAAAAAATAATACAGCAGTATCAATACTTGAATTTCTAAGAAAAACTCATCCAGATAAAGGTACTGCAACACAAAATTTTCATGGTAAACGAAACTTCAGTAACACACCGGGAGAGAAACAGCTAAGAAAGGGTATTTCAGAGTAATTAAGAAAGCTTCATAATTGCCTTTTAAATGCACCTGTTGTTTTTTTGTGTTTTGCAGCAGACACTGAACTGTAGCAGTCCATTCAGGCTGTCTTGTTGAAAACAAAAATAATTAGAAATGCAAATTATTGCGCTTTCAAAATTGTAAAGAATTCATTCAACGCAAACATAAACAGCAAATTAATTAGAGTCAGACAACAGCTGCTGTACAGAATAATGTGCTTCAGAAATCTTGTCAACTTTAAAGCAGAAGACCGTCAGCCTGCACACCTATAAAATACTGTTAATCAAGACATTAATCGTTACATGAAAAAACACCACTGACAGTCACTTATTGTTGATGTTATAATGTCATTATTGCAATGCCAATCATGTAAATAGCAAACTGGACTAAACAAACCTCACAATCTTTGTGTATCCAGCATGTCCACATGACCCCCACCAGTAAGACAGCACATATTTTATGACACTAATAAGGTGATACTTGGGCAGAGCCTGCAGTTGTCTTTTCCAGGGCCTATCTTGACATAATATTGCACTGAGAAATATGGTTTTGTGCTCTCAAAAAGCATAGTCAGGGTATTCACCAGGGAATGAAAAGCAATTTTGTCAGAGGGAATCTGATGCCACCTCTCCTTTATAATGACTGAAGAAAATTAATCATCGCAAATAATATTCCAGTGTCAGCCATTCAAGAGCTTTTTAATAGAATTTTTATTATTCATGTCTCGTGGTACACATCAACTAGTCCGTTCTGCAACATTTCAGAAATCAATTCAATATCATCTTCGTGTAGGCTGTCATCTCGCCCGCCGGTGCAGCAATTCATCTTGCAAACAAATACTTTTAGCAAACAAATGGCAAGAAATGACAAGGAACAGCTACAATATCCCCACTAGCAGAACTGGTGCTTGAAGATAGGATAAAAGTCTCATAATGTGCAGTATCATTAGGGAGAAAATAATAGTAATAATAATAATAATAACAAAAGGGAGTATGTTTACTATTTTCTCTCCCCATAACACTCGCCGCTGTTTGCTCAGAAACATCCTCATAGACCGATTCTTTTCCCATGATAACAGTTTTGTAAATGTCTCTTTCTTTGTTGTCTATTTATTTATTGCGATTTGACATTACTGTTGACAAGTACATTCTACGGGTTTAATGCAGTAAAATAAAGAATAAATCTCACTGGCTTGTACATCTATTCCTGGCTATATAAAGTATGGCATCTGTCTAAATAGTCGTACATCACACTGAAGCTGGTGAGACCAGTAAGTAACCAGTAAGTAACAGGCTCTCTACAGTATATCAGTCCACAACCAGCCACTTTATTAGGTACACCTGTACAATTGTATGCACTTCAATGCAATGTCTGTGTTTATGAAGCTCAAAATGTTTCAGTTTTTGGTGTCTCTATATTTTTGTCCTCCCTGGCTACATATAAGAGAGGGTCAGAATATTAGGAACACCTCTGAATATAATGTAGTCCAGTACAACACCATTTTTAATTAGGACCGCAATAATAAACATATAATTGAATTTATACATGTATGACAATTTCAGCAAAAACTGAAGCAGAATAAAAAGATCTGAGAGGAGAGAAACAAAAAATGCTCATAATGTACCAATTAATACTCTGTAAACACAGAAATTTACCTAATTTTTACCACTGATTTAATGTCGGAGGACATTTCAGAATAGACATGTTCACATGCACACTTATACAATAAAAATCCCTGTTTCTTCATCTCTGGTTCAGTAATGTGTCAGATGCCATGTTGATGCTGAATAATAAAGCTGTAATACTGTTGATATACTGTATCTCTACAGCCTCGGCGAAGGCTTTTGTGAGGTGTAAACTTTCAGCTTTGATCCAGTGATAAAGTTAGAACACCCCATTCATTTTGGACACTTGTTCTCCTTGACATAAAACATAACCGTTGTCATACGCATGTACCAAGATTTTAAGTGCTGTCAGAGGCTATTTTGCAGCTGTGCCTTCCATCGCTTTTGTTACTCTTTTTCATCTTCTCCTTCTTATTTGTGTTTTTTTTTACAGTTACAGTTACTATGATGCCCTCAGAGATAAGCCACGGGAAAAGGATATCACAAGTTTAATATTTTCAAACATAGATAAATAATTCATAAATACGCTGTCTTTCAGGACAGAGGAGAGAGAGAGAGAGGGTCAGAACTAAATGTTGATTCAGCCTTCTCCAGCTATGACCTTCACCTATACCCCCCCACCACCAGAAGTGAAATTTAAGCAAATGTGTCATTTTCCTGGACAAGGACGATACGATATGAATTACTTCCTTTCTTTTTTTTTTTGCACCATGCTTATATTCTATATCTGCTGTAATTCATACTTTGTAGATGTGAGATGTTGCTTTGAGGCATATTGACTATCATCATACATAAAGCAGATCATGGTTGTTTGAAAAAACAAAGAGAGATATTCATCCCATGAGAATAATGTTGAGGGTTTTTTTTATTTATGGATGATCCAGAGTGATAAAACTATGACATGTGAGGTTCAGTACAAACATTTTAAAACAAAAAAAGCATATAAAAAGAACGTGAAGCATACTTTAAAATATATTTACTTTTTTGCTTTGAGCCTACGTTAAAAGTATTCACAGCGCACTCCTTTTAAACTATTCAGATATTACAGACACAGTGAATCTATTGATGCTCATTCTGTCATACAGTTGCTGCACAGGAACATACAGTAGAGGTTTTTTTTATTCTTGAAGGTAGCTGTGTAAGTTAGCTAGCAGCATGTCAGATTTATAATATTTCAAGACATGAGCTTGAGCTTTGGAAGGGAGATGTCTGGAGCTGAAGATCACCTGTCCTCTGCAGTTTTATTACTGAACATGACAGCATCTGACAGTAAAATGGGTGTGCAATTTTCATCTATTTGTAATGTTAAGGTTGATAAAATGGAAAATGCCTGCACAGCAATAGCTGATTCGTTAAGTTTCATAGTGCTGAACTTTTTTTGAAGACTAAAAAAGGATCTTAACCACTTAACTTGTTAATGTACTGTGTTTTACTAGAGTACACAACTGTTTGCTTTTAAGAACAAAGAGCTGAAAATCTGACCTGCAGTGGTTTAATTTCTCACCTTGCTGATGTACAATAGAGGAAGTGTACCCAGGGTGTGTCTGTACGCAGTGATATTACAGTTAGATTAGATGATAAGTGCAGCAGAGCACAGACTTCTGAGCCACACAGAGGTGCAGCACATTCAGAGGTTTTCACCAGCAAGGCAGCAAGACACCTGTTGTTAGGATACTCTGACAGAAAACATGAGTCACTGACACCATGAAAAAACGAAGTTGATTATGTGGTAATTGGAAAATGCATTGTTTAGGTATAAAAAGCTAAGTACGAGACATGCCCTGTCATAGGGCTTCTAACTTTTTCCATATACAGTACGTGTTTAAATCTTCAGAGTACTGTCACAAAATGATTGGAGCACATGCTAGAGCAGTACTTAACCACGAAAAGCAAAAAAATGAAGCTTTTGCTTGACATGCACAGGACACTTATAGGTTGAAAAGTATCTGCAACCAAACAAAGTATCACTTTGTCAAGTTATCTTGTAAGTAGAAAAATTAATCAGCAAAGGTAAATGTTTTCTTGACACAAAGATGGGATGAAGTTATTAACTTGGCAATGGAGTCATTCGTGGCCTATGAGGTGTTTAGTGGAAGACAACTCAACTGAGAACAATGAAGTGTTCGTCAAAGGGAGGAGAATGAAAATGTTGCACGGTACACCAGCAAGTCCGTCATGGCTGGTGGGGGGTGAACTGTCTGAAGACATGAGCTATGTAGCTTTGATGGACTTTATTTATAGCTTCAGAGTAACACCCTCAAATGAAACATTCATATGCTTTTAAAAATAACTAATCAGAAAAGACAACTTTGTTGCTTCATAAAACCACATAACTTTGAATGAGTATAAAGTATCCTATGAAAAGTCATCCAGCCATATGCTACTTTGTGAAAAAAGTGACAGAGGAGCATGGTTTTGGTGACAAACACCAGATGTCCATGCATACATAAAGGTCTTCACATCCACTCTGTGTGTTCCAGATAGATGGACAGCAACAGCAAGTCTTCAGACATCATATGGCGAATTTCAAATTTCACCTTCAGAGATCAACCT